CGATAGCCTTATCCCCATCAATAGAAAAAAAAAGATTAAGGTGGACCACTAGAAAACAATTACTTGATGCAAAAAAAAAAAAAAAAAAAAAATGGCAAAGGGACAATAAACTCAAAACATGCAATAGAGAGAAAATAGCCAAAGGTTAGAGTACGTAAACCATGCAACGTAACCCAGGCAAGAGCGCGTGGTGCTCTAGGTGAAAGTCAGACATGGCCCATGGAAATTAAATTTTTTAAATGTGATTTTTTAAAAGGCAGAGATTGGCACTGAATGGAAACAAACAAACAAACAAACAAACCACAGTGTTGTTTACAAGATACACACACTTCAGATCAAATGACACAAACAGTTCAGAATTAAAAGCAGAAAATGATAACCCTGGAAAAGAGAACCATGAGAACTGAGCTTGTTAGAGCAACAGAGTGGACTTAAAGAAAACAAAGAACAACTCTTCAGAGCAGAGCAGTGTCCCCCCAAGGGGCCTGGCGGATTGCCTCCAGTCTAGAGGCTCCAGGCTGCGGCCTGTCTGCCCAGTTCCCATTCTGTCCACACCACCAGCTGCAGTGCAGGCCCTGCTCAGGGAACCAGTGCGCCTGTCTTCAACAACAGCCTCTCAAGCTGGGGGCAGATGACAACTCACCATGGCTACCTTTCGCTTTTCCCCAGCGATTAGCTTCCCAGTGCTCAGCCATGGTAAATATTGGAGGAGACAGAAACACTGATTACCTTGATTTTATCATTGCATGTTGCACAACACATGTCCAACAGGAACAGCAGAGTACTCAATCACAGGCACTTGGGAAACATTCACCAAGGTCGGTCACGCCTGAGAGCTGGGGAGGACCCAGGGTCAGTCCTGGCTGTGGTAGTCCCTGGAGCCTGGCCCCATTGGGTTCCCATTCTTCACCCACAGGAGAAGCAGGTGGCAATGTAGTCAAAGTTTATTTAGGGTGGAAACACTGTCATTACAATAAATAAAACAGGAATAAAATACCAATCTAATACAAAAGCAATCCTGGGGTTCTCCTGGGGTCACTGCTATCCTGTTGCGGGCCAGGAGGCCTGGGGAGGTGCACAGGGGTTGCTTGCACAGCCACCAGCAGGAGGCCACTAGGCCAGGGAAGCATGTGTGAGGGCGAAGCCAGGGAATATCACCTGGAGCGCCACTCACCAGCTCAACAGGCATCCTGCATATAGAGCGTGTACAACCTGTCACCAGGCGGGTCCCCTCACTTCCTGCCCAGGCCATCCCCTCCCTGAAGGCTCTGTCTGCTGTCCCCTCATCCCTATCCAGAGCCCTCCAATTCATGGCACCAAGCCTTGAGGGGCTGGAGGGCTCCCCATGGCCTTGCCCAGCATCTTCACTGAGCTGGGGTTCAGGGAGCTTCCGGGGCTAGGATAGGGCCTACTGTACACTTCCAGCCAGGCTCACCAAGCTCTTGGAACTCGAGGCCAGAGACGCTGGTACAGAGGGTTCAGGGGGCCTATGGAGGGCCCACAGGGAGGAGAGCCCACCTGCACCCTGATGCAGTCCCCAGAGCCAGGGCCTGGAGCACTCAGAAGGCACTATATGTTCTTCCTACCACTCAGGACATACTCCCCTCCTCCAGGGTCCCCACATGGCCGAGAAACCCAGAGTCCATGACTAGGGCCCTGGGGAGGTGCGGGGCCTTCCTGAGAGCATCAGTCACTGGGGAACCAGGGTGTCCCCTGGCCTGCCTTTCAGCTGACAGATGGTCATAGGGGTGGGGCTGCTAGAGAGAGGCGAGAACAGGGGCCTGAGTGTCCCAGAGAAGGTTGTCTCCGGGAAGATGAACAGCAGGGACCCGTCAGTCACGCTGTAGAATGAGAGGTGTCCAGCCTCATAGTCCAGAAAGATCCCCACGCGCCGAGGAGGGTCCCGGAGCGGAGAGAAGGCCGGCTCCGTGGAGGTGAAGTAGCTCCCCAGGAAGACCAGGATCCAGAAGCCATTGCCAGCGGACAGCTCCCCCTTCTCTTTGCGGTTGACATTCTCTCTACACACACCCAGGGCCCAGCTGGTGCGATCCCCCACCTCTACCTCCCAGTAGTGGCGGCCCGAGGTGAAGCGTTCCTGACCTAGCACACAGGGGCCAGGGTCAAAGCGCTCAGGGCTGTCGGGCAGGGCCTGCCGCAGGTCACCTCGCTGCACGCTCCTCCTGTCCTCAGATAAGACCAGCTCAGGGTTGGCGGTGTCCGGGTCCAGGGTCACATCCCCTGAAGAGAGAAGCTGGAGGTCACCAGGCATGGTGGTCTCCAAGGCAGGAACCCCTGCTCTGGCCCTGCTGGCAAAACCCACCCATCAACCTATGTGCTGTCCACCCAAGGTTCATCCACCCTCACAGCCTGCTAAAGGGATCAGCTTTCCTCAAGAGACTACTGACCTCCCTGGAAAAACCTCACCTAGTCACTTCTGGTCATGATTCAGAATGTTTTAGAAACTGCTCCCCATTTCTACATCACATGATGTAGGAAATCCTGAGTGCTTTTTACATCCCATCTTTTAATCCCAAATCCGAGTCTGTGAGCTATGGCCCAGCTTCCTCACTGGGCTCTGCTGGACCAGGCCACACCCAGAGTGACATAAAGACCCCTCTCTGGGACTAGAGGGTAGCTATCCCCACCAGGTAGTCTTTGAGTGTCCACCTCCAGGCCAGGCGGGGCCCAGCACAGAGGTGCTCCTGTCATGGCCCAGGTGGGTCCTAGACAGCCCCGTGGAGTCCAGGGCCCAGAAGACCGAATGTCCAGGCATGTCTACCGACTGCCCTTTAGGCAGGGGAGGAGCTGAGCTCATCACCAATGACCAATGACCAGGAGCGAGCTCTGGGAAGGGCCCTGAGCAGTGGGGGGCAAGTTCCAGGCTGGAACCTTCCTAGGTGTCAGGAGGATGGTGCTCGGAGAGGGCACGGAGCACCCGCACCCTTCCCCAAACCTCGGGCTACCCATGTCTTCCATCCCCATGTTCCCTTGAGTTTTGTGATCTATTGAGGCAAATTATCTCACGTGAGGCAGGGGTCACGGGAATTCTGATCTATAGCAGGCAGGTCAGAACTATGGATGCCACCTGCATGCCAAGGGGCTGAGCCTTTAACCTGTGGGGTCTGCGGAACTCCAGGGAGATGGTCAGAGCTGAGCTGAGTCACTGGGACACCTTGCTGGTGTCCAGAACACTGCAGACGGCTGGGTGTGCCAACTGCTGGTCTCACTGGTCACCTGGACTCTCAGCAGCCTCCTCCCAGGGTCAGCTACCCACCTCGAAACCTCCGCAGAGTCTCTACCAGCCCCGGGACCCTGCACACGGTCCTCAGCTCCATGGGCACCACCTCTGGGGGCTGCAGCTTCACATCCTGAACCCTGTGGGAAGCAGCCCATTTTACCACCATGGCCAGCAGGTAGGCCCCACCCCACCCCCTGCCACCTGCCCTGGGTGAGGCAAGGGCTCATACCTGCGCAGGGCATCCTTGATGTCCTATAAAAAAGAGAAAAAACACATGCTCAGTACTAACACCTGCCACCTGGTCCGGGGCAGCAGAGACAGCACTGGGCTCAGAAAACCACCCTGAGCATGTGCCATGAGATGCTGGGCAGAGGCCTGGACACTTGAGCAGAGAACATGAAGGAGAGTGTGTCCCCCATCCCTACACGTGCCAGGGGCTGGCAGGGCCTGTGTCCAGGCTTCTAGAAACGGGTGGCACTGTGTATGGGTGTCTCGCCACCAGGAACCCACCCTGCGGTGCCTCAGGCCTCCGGCTCTGCCCTGCCACCCCCCAGGGCCCTAGCTCTACTTTCCTCCTGGACGCTCCTCTTGCCTGTGTCTTAGGCTGACAGGTGATAGCAGCATACTCAACATCAAGGCAGACCCCTGCCCTCTGCCCCCCAAATGCAACGCTGAAGTCCTGACCCCTGGGACCTCCAAGTATCTGGAGAAGCGGGATGCTCATCAGCTACCCATCACAGCGACAGGAAACAACATAGAGGGGCTGGGGCTCAGCAGTAAGCGTTCGCCTTGCATGTGTGAGGCACTGGGTTCCATCCTCAGCACCATATAAAAATAAGTAAACAAAATAAAGGCATTTGTTCATCTACAACTAAAAAAGCAAAACAAAACAAAACAACACATGCAACCTAGAGATTCATTTGGACTCAGTCTCAGAGGTTTGGGTCACACTGGGTGGCTCTGTTACTTCAGGCCTGGGGTGAGAGAGGACACCATGATGGAAGGGTGTGGTGGAGGAAAGGTGTCAGTTGACCGCAGCTGGGAAGCAGGCAGACAGACAGATGGGGGTGGGGGAGTGCTGGGGACCAGTGACACCCTTCCAGGTACAACCTCGGGCACCTGCACCCTCCAACCAGGCTCCCTCCTGCGCTCACCAGCACCTCCCTGTAATGCCAGCACTGACAAACCATCACCTGATCACTCCACAGTGAGGTCGGAGCCCTTGGGATCCCACCACTTCCCAGAAGCCCCCACGTGCTGCAGTGGGGACCAGCCTTCAACAGACTTTTAAGAGGAAGTGAAATTGAAACAGTTATTAGTGTGGGCCCCTACCCAATGCGGGTCATGTGCCCGCAAGAAGAGATCAGGACACAAGACACACAAGAGTGCTGACCATGGAGGGCACGGGAAGATGGTGCCAGGAGGCGTGTGCGGCCATGGTCTGGCTATGGTGTGTGTTCCTGAGGGCCCAGGTAGGGACCTCATATGTGCAGCTGGCAGGGTGGACCTGGAAGGCGGGCCTGACCCTTGGTGGAGCCTCCCCATCCTGCTTTCTGCTTTCCTGCAGCCTCTCCCCTGGATGTGCTAGTGTTGTCACGTCTGCCGTTATGTGACACTCCAAGGGGCCCCACAGAGCCATGCTGGGTGATTTGGACTTTCAGCCTCCAAAATCATGAGTTAAGCAATCATCTCTCTTCATGAAGTACCCGCCTCAAGTGTTTCATAGCCACAGAAATTGAGTCAACACGTCCAACCTGCTGACACCATGGACTTCCAGTCTCCAGGGTTATGAGAACACAAACCTGTCACTTACTTAAGGCACAGTCTGGACTTTATGTGGCAGCCCCAGGTGAGTCACACACCCAGTTATTGGAGGCCAGCTCGCCCAGGTCCCAGGCTCCCTGCAGGTGGGGCAGACAGAGGCAGTCTCTCTCACACAAGGAGGTAACTGTTAAGGGCAACAGGTCACACAGACCTGGACGGGAAAGGGAGACTCCTGGAGGGTCATGAGGCCCCAGGCAGACCAACTGGCACAGGCTGGAAGATAGACATGCAAGGGCCTGGGCATGTGCAGGCTGGTGAGCACACAGCAGCAGGGCACAGCTGTCCTGGTGGTCATGTGGCCTGGGCAGGGCTGCAAAAGGGAGGGGTCTGTACCCCTAGGGGTGTGACACAGACACGTCCATTTAGGAAACTCACTGCACCGCAAAATAGGCCACTGAGGAGTCCTGGAGGGCAGCCGGACCCAGGGGTGGGTTCAAGTCACCAAGGTCCTTCCCCTTCACCAAAGGGCATCTGTCCCTGAGGCAATAGGTGACATTCCCCAGGTGCTGGCAACCTCCTGACTGAGGGGAACAGGTAGGCAGCAGGTAAGTGGGAAGGAGGAGCAAGAGAGGGGACAGGTGGAGAAGGAGGCCGTAGGTGGGCTGCCTGGTGAAAGCCTGGCCCTCCCCACAATCCGTGTGCACCCGCCTTTCTGATCACCCCTTCCTCCTATAGCCTTCTTGACATTTTGATGTTCAGGATCTCAGGAGGGTAAGTGTGGTTCACAGTATCATGCTGAATATTTTGAAGTAGCTGGCAGAGAGGTTTTCCATGGTCTCACTACAAAGAAAAGACAACTGGACCTAGTGATGGACAGACAAGTTACCCCAACTTAAAAAAATACACAACACAAAGTATCAAGATACAACACTGTACCCCATAAATGTGTGCATTTACCTGCTGGCTAAAAACCAAGAGTTTTATGAACCTAAAGAAATTTAAGGAACAAACCTGTCAGTCCTCCACAAGGGTTCCTCAGCCTTCTGGACAGCGGACCCCTGCTTTACCGACCAGCATCTTCTCCTGAGCTAGTCCTGTTGCACAGGCTCCAACCCTCTGGCCGCTCAGGGTACACACAGGGTCAGGTTCAGTGTCCTCTAGACACCTCTCCCTGTCCCTGAAAGAGCCACCTGGAGTGGGAGGCTCCTTGCCAGCAGGCTGCCCCATGGAAGGCAAGAGCCCTGCCTGCTGGCCACCCATGGCCTCTCCTACAGAAAAGTCCACCGAGTCCCGACTCCAGCCCGCATGGGCCACTCAGCAGTCACCACTACTTGACAGCCAGGGAGGCTCAGGCATGGAGCCTATGGAAAGACCAGCAGGTCCCAAAGCAATGGTCAAGCCTTTTAGGGTCAACTGACCTGCCACCAAGACAGTGGGGAAGGGCATGCCAAGTGTTCTGGTTTGGGAAGATGGCAAGAGAAGGCCAGGTTCAGAGCAGAACCAGCTCTCCCAAAACACATGGGAGCACCTGCCATGGTTCAAACATCCCCATTGGAATTGAACTTGACCACTCTATTAGGTGTCAGGAGGTGGGGCCTTCCAGAGGGCATTGGATCATGAGTGTCAGCAGATTCCCCACCAGCAAGAAGGTTGTTTCCAGATGCACCCACCAACCTTGGACCTCTCAGCCTCCAGGCTATAAGCCAAAGTAAACCTCTTCACACCTCTTTTTCATAAATTACCATCTCAGGTACTCTGCTACAACAGACTAAGCCAGCAGGCCAGAGTGGAGATACTCAAGTGCCCAGTGGTGGGGACAGAGGACAAGGGGCATGGACTTCCTGCTGAGAACACAGGAGCCCCTATGGGGAGTCCAGGCAAAGATGGGCGAGGGTGATCCAGGGCAGCCAGAAGCAGAGGAGCAGGAGTGTTCTCCAGGGCCACACATGTCATGGGACAGGCCAAGCAAAGCCCACTCTGCTATGTCCACAGAGCAGCTGCCCTGGGGAGCCTGAGAAAACTGAAGATAAATGGCAGGTTCTTGCAGAGTGCACTTGACCCTCCCCATGCACCGGTTCTGCGTCTGCGGATTCAACCAATAGTGAGTTGAAAACTTTTGCAAAAAACAAATCATGTCTATACTTGAAGGCACACCAGCGTTTTCCCTGCATTTACACTACGTTTCCATACAGCAGGTGCTGTATGTCACTAGAGACCACTTAAACACACGGGGGACCATGCAGCTGTTATACAATATTACATGGCAGGGAACTGCAGCCAGGTGGATTTCAGTGTCTCCCAGATACAAGAGAAGACTGTACCTAAGAGATCATCTGGGTGCAGGGAGGAAAAAACAATCTTTCTTCTACACTGGGCGTGGGGTGGGAGAACGGCTGGGCACCTCTCTTGGCCCTGCAACATTTCACAGTGGGGGACAGCAGGTCCCAGCCCTCACAGACCAACCTGAGTCCTGGGTCACCTCTGCCCCACACTGCCTGCACTCTCGCACTCCACCCCTCAGGTAATCCAGTCTCCAGCCAYGTGCACGCCAGCCTGGGGCTCGCTCACCTGAAGAAGTCCCAGAGCCGGCAGCTGGCAGCGGCCCTCCAGCTCTGTGATGAGCGTGGCCAGCTGAGCACTCTGCTGGCCCAGCCTTGCAGCGCCCTCACGCAGCCGGGGCAGCACCTCCAGCTCCTCCTCCTCCAGCTTCTGCAGCAGCTGCTGCTCCTCCTCAGCCAGCAGGCGGCGCAGGCGCTCAAATTCACCCAGCACGTTCTGCCGTTGGCTCTCCACCATTTTCTGCAGGGTAGGGGGCGGGGGATGGACAGCAGGACAGCTCAGCTGACTAAGCCAGACCACTGCTGGCACCAGGGTCCCAAACCTGCCATCTGGACCCACCCTCACCCTAAATCCACCTTCAAGGCCCAACACCATCATCCTTGACCCCTAAACACACCACCTGGGGTCTCTCCATGTCCAGCTCCTCACTGACTTCCAGATCTATTCCTGGGCCTCCTCTCATGCTTCATTCCTCCCACCCGCAATCTACCATCACAAGTGTGCCAGGACCCCAGCAGGGATACAGGGGGACAAGACACCCCGCTACAACCAAGGCATTCTACTTGACTCTTAGAGTCAGTCCTCCCTCACCCACCTTGGCCTGGTCCCAGTGAGGCCAGGCCACAGCAATGACCACCAGATCCTCCACCCCCACCTGCTGACCCATCTCCCAGGAGCCCACAGCCTGGCACCTGCCTGCCACAAGGCACAGGTCTCCTCTGCTTGGGCCTGGGACAGCAGGGCATCTTCCATTTGCTTCCGCAGGTGCTCCAGGGACTTTTCCAGCTTCCCCTGGGGAGACAGACCAGGCAGAGCCATGGACCCCAGCCCAGCACTGGGACACATCAGGCAGGGCCCATGCCTGCACATGGGAATCTGCCCTTTCACACCTGACCTCGTCCCAAGTTCCTCCTGGGAGCACAGACTGAACTCTGCCCAGAGAACAGTGTGATTCCATGGTCAGCATCCTCCTCTGGCCACCCTGGCTGAGACCCCCTTTTCCCCTATCAATCAATGGTCAAGGCCAAGTTGTTTTTCCTCACATGGGGCTAGACGTCTGGTTCTCAACCCTGTTGCCCTACCCCAGGCCCTGCTCACTTTTGCAGAGTGCTCTGCGTGTTCAGGTTCCTTGAACAGGACAGTGTCCTTCCCTCCCCTCTACCAAGCTGGCTCTGGAAGCACCCAGCTCACTCTCCAAGCCTCCCTCCCCTTCTCTTCTTTACAACCTGTTGGTTCATAAAGACCTGTGCTAAGTCAGATGCTGTGGTCCGCATGTGTACATCTCCCAAATTCAGAGATTAGAATCCTCACCCCAGATGATGGTGTCGGGAGGTGGGGTCTCCGAGAAGTGATGAGGTCATGAGATGGGAGCCTCACGATGGGATCAGTGCCCTTATAAAGGGACCCCAGTAACCCTCTACCCCTTCTCCATGTGAGTATACAGGGCAACCAGAAGCAGAAGCAGCCCTCACCAGATAGAAATGTGCCACACTGTTGAAGCCAGATTTAAAATTAGGTAGTCAGTGTAGTTAGGTAAATCGGGTCTAATATCAGTGAAATCTAAAATGGAGGCCATGCTGAGAATGATTGGGGGGAGGGGGAATGCAGGACAACTCATGGAATGTTAATGAAGTCCCAGAAAGGCCCTAGGCCAAAGTCCACCCCAAAGAAATGTTAATGGAACCCAGGAAACAGCCCCCAACAGATTTGGAGATAGCCCATCCCAAGAAGTGATAATGAAGTCCTTCCTGGGTGTGGGGTGGGAGATTACCAGTGTCCCACCCCTTCGGGCCTTCCAACCTACATTCCATCGCCAAACTATAAAAAGGGGAGACAACCGCACTTCCATGAATTCCACCTCTTGGGTCCTCTTCTTCCTCCCAGAGAAGTCTTTTCTGCTGTCCTTTAATAAACTTCTAATTTCTACTCTGACCTTGCATCCACGTGCTTCTTTGGTGTTATTCTTCAACATTGGGGAAGCAAGGACTCGTCGGCCAACAGCGGTATCACCGTGACCTTGGGCTTCTGGCCTGCAGAACTGGGAGCTGTACATGTGGTGACACATGAGCTGCCCTGGCCAGGGTTGTTCAGGCAGCCTGCAACAGCTAGGACCCTTGACTTCCAGTGCTTTTCCTCCAAGCCCTTAGCATCATCAAAAGACCTGGGACCAGTATAATTAATTATATTGCTCTGCCCTTGATCCCAACTTCTCATTTCCACTTTTTCTTAGTTCTGTGCACCACTGAACAGCGAGTTCTATAAATAAGTGACTTGGTGGCTCCAGTTTGGGTTGTTCTAAGTCTCCTTAAGGATGTGTTTACTTTGATCCACATACTCATCCACTATAGGAGTGGGCTGGCCATGCTGCCCCACTTTCCTGCCCTGATGGTGACATGGGGCTGAGTATTGACCCAAACATCAGCTCAAGGTAGACTTGATGTACTTGTTAGCAGATGCACAAATTGGCAAGATGCAGCCAAGAAGCCTGAGGGCTAGGGTGGGGGTTGACTAGTATCCCCAAGGGCACGGATTCCACCTTCAGCATGGCACAAAACTTTTAAACTTTGACCCATCTTTTCAATACCTAGGAAACCAGAAGCCCTGAGACTCTTCAATATGGGTTTGTTTGGTTTAAACCAGAAAGACGTGGGGAAAGAAGGTGGGTGAGGTCCATCAACACATGGAAAAAAGGTCCCCACTACTCCATCTAGAAATCCAGGGCAGTCATGGAAGGACCCAGGCAAACAATGCCTTTGTCCCCTCATTTTCCCCAGGACCCAGCAGTGGCCCCAAAGCAGATCTCTGCACTTGCCCCACGAGTCCGCCAGCAGGAGTTCACCTAGGGCAATAGGCCCACACCTTCTCTTCTGTTTTCCCTTGCTTTGGACTCCTTCACAAGGGACCCGCGGCTCCCGGAGGCCACCAGGAACCCCACTATCCTCACAAGAACTGGTCAGCAGCCTCCTGAGTCCCCTACCCCGGCGTGACTGCCGTTCCAATTCTCCAAGGGCTGGGATAGGATGTGCCTCCTAGCTGTCCCGAAACCACCCCACCCAGCTCCCCTCAGTCCCCCAGCCGCGACTGTGCTCAAGAGGCCAGGCAACCCAGTGCCCTCCTCCCAACCAGGACAGGCTTCGCCTAGAGCTTCCCCGCCCCGGAACAGGCTGCGCTCCCACCCCCACACCCCGCCAGGCCGTGCCCCACTCCGCACAAGGGACGCACTTTGAGGTCGTCGGCCGCGTCCTGCAGCGGGCGTACGCGGTGCGTCCAATGCTCCCCAGAACGCTCGCAGGCCGCGCACAACAGGCGCAGCTCGTCGCTGCAGAAGGCGGCCAGCGGCTCGCGGTGCGCGGCGCACACGCCCTGAGGGACGGGCGATGGCGGATGTAGGCGCCGCGCCATCTCGGCCATCTTGGCGAGCGGGCGGTTGGGCCGCAGGTTCCTCTGCGGGGACAACTCGCGGCACTCAGGGCAGGCGTACGGGCCTTCGGGCTGACCCCAGCAGCGCCGGATGCACTCGCGGCAGAAGTTGTGGCCGCAGTCGGTCATCACCGGGTCAGTGAAGTAGTCGAGGCAGATGGCGCAGGTGGCCTCCTCTTGGAGGTTGGTGGACAGGTCAGGGGCGGCCATGGCGCGCTCTCCGCCGGGTCGGGCGGCCTGGGCCGGAGCGCCAAGCCGCTGGGGCAGTGGGGCACCGGGACGTCGGCAGGAAGCGGAACCACGGCGGAAACAGGAAACGGACTTTTTTTTTTTTTTTTTGGAACCACCCGCTTTTGCTGCAGATTGGCGGTAGTCTGTCACGCGGCCCGGACAGACTTGGGTGTGTCCTTGGGTGACCAGGCACTGCGACCGGTGTCCCAGCGGCTTGGGTTCCCGGGGCCAGGAGTGGGGTGCAGAGCGCGTGCAGGTGCAGGGCGGGGCTATGCACACACCGCCACCTCCGGACCGGGAAACTCGCACTCTTAACCCGGGACCTATGTCGTTGGACGCACCAGGCTCCGCACGCGTTCCGGGGCGGGCCACCGTGGGAGTGTTAGGATGGGAGTGGAAGAGAGTATCGTGCCACGACCTTCTCCCTTCCGCGCCCACAATAGAAACCATCCTGGAGTTGCGTGGTTCCAGGGGCACCCCTTTATCCCCGCCAGGAGTGTCTGTAGTATGGAATTCTGGGGGCGCTGGTGACTGTTCTTGGAGAGGGACTGTTAGGAACGCGTTGGCTGAAGGGGAGAAGAAACCCCCCAAATTATCCTTATCGTTTTTGGATTTTGTTTCTTATGCAACTTAAGGGGGCCAGAAGGATAGGGTGGTCAGCTGAGGCTTTTTAGGGGCTCAGCCCTTCTCAAATCCACCCCCCTACCCCCTCTTTTTTCCGGTAAAGGACCCCATAGTGGAAGAAGGCCCCAGGAAGCCAGGACACAAGTAGTTAGTAAATTTGGGGTGAAGTACAGCTACACACACACACACACTAGACTGCTGTTGTGCTGGTGTTTACACAGTGGTCACTAGGAAATGCCCTGACTTTCTTTCCACAGTTCCCTCTTGGAAGCATCTGTCAATGCAGTCTCAACATTTGACCCCTTTAATCATGGTTATACTTTGAGGGTTTGCATAGTGGATGACTCTGAGTCACATGGAGGAGCCTGGCAGGTGGCCATGGCAAGCAAAGGAAGGACCCTTCTGAGGAGACCCAGGTAGCCCCGCAGGACCTCTGCCCCACCCCATGCCTGAGCCTACCCTTTCACCCACAGAGTCACCGTGGAGATGACCATCTGGCCCGATTTGGGAGTCCCCAAGCAGAAGAACGGCTGCAGGGGCCCGGGAAAGGTGGCTTGGGAGTAGGTGTGCAGGTGGGACCCATCGTTCACACTATAGAAGGACACCTCCCCGGCCTCAAAGTCCAGGAAGATGCCCATGTAGCTGGGAGGCTCCATGAGTGTGACCGGGGGTGCAGGGGGCACTGTGGACAAGGGCTTCTTCCCCTTAGACAGCTGCACCACCCAGAACCCATTTTCGGGGGACTTCGGCACCCTGTCCTTGCGGCTCACATTGTCTCTGCACACACCGAGGGCCCAGAGTGCATCCCCGGTGAGGTTCATGCCCACTTCCCAGTAGTGCCTCCCTGAGGAGAAGCTCTTCTGGCCCACAGCGCAAGGGTAGGCCATAAACCTGTCCTTGCTCTGGGGGGCGCTGCTCTCTGGCAGGTGGCTCAGGTAACGTCTCTGACGGCTCTCATATAGGAGGAGATACGGGTATGCGGAGGTGGGGTCCGGCAGTACATCCTCTGTAGACAGGCCCAGGCAGACATGAGGTCAAAGGTGGAAGGGCACAGCCCCAGGTGTGGTGGGGCAGATGGCGGCTGTGGCTAAGTGGCCCCACTTCTCCCTGGCTCCTCAATGCCTCCCCTCCTTGAGTCCAGCTGTGAGTCAGGGTTATCTAATGGCCCCATCCCCCCTGACATGTGACTCTTGGTGGCCACGTGTAAATGAGGGTAAAGGGGAGCTTAATCCAAATATGACAACCAGTAAGTTGACTAGGTGGAAGGGCAGGGCTGAATCTGACCACACAATGCAGCCCAAGACCCCCATCAGCATCTCTAGCCCTATCATGGAGGGTGGGGTCGGGCATTACCAGCGGGAATGGGATGGATCTGGGTCCCCACCTGGGCTCCCTTACCTTGGAAACCTTTGAGGATCTCTATCTGCCCGGGAACCCTGCACACAGTCTTGAGCGCCGTGGGTAGGGCCACCTCAGGGTACTGCACGCTCAGGTTTTTCTTCCTCCAGTAAACACAGACTCGCTGTCCCCTCTGGGTCCATGTCAAGGCCTCCCTCACCCACCTCCGCCACCACCTGCATTGCACTGCATAGCATACCTGTCCAAGGCATCCTTCATGTCCTGCAAACAACAAGGAGGAGAGCTAGGGATGGTGTGCAGGTGGGACCCATCGTGGGCTGCAGCTGTACTCTCCCCTCTGTCCCTCCATCTGTGGGCCACTTCTTTGGGGCAGACCAGGGATGTGATTTTCTGCTGGAAATCAAGCCCTACCCCCTTGGTATCCTCCCTCCTATTCCTATAAGGAGACCATCTGCTTCACCTAACCCAACACACTCCCTCTACCCACATCAGACACCTGGGATCCTGCATGATCCAGCTTCAGTTCTGTAAGTGTGTGTGTGTGTGTGTGTGTGTGTGTTGGGGGGTGTCTCAAGGTCCACAGTGAAATGTTTTTTTGCCATAGATTCTAGTCACTCCATGTACTCGATGAGCCATTACCACACATCAGCACATGTTGTCCCTTGGACACAGCCAAGGCTATAGCACACAGCACATTCCTGTAGCCCTGTGATTGTGCTTGTCCACAAAAGGTCCCAGAGTACATGCTAGCCAGTGTGCCTCCCCTACAAGGTGACAGTGAGTCCTCGCCCCAGTTGCCCATGTGGATGCCAGGGGCCCCAGACCAAATCCCTGGGCCTGGAAGGGATCAGTCTCATAAGTTGGAAGTCCTAGTCCCCAGGATCTTACTTGGAATGATCCTAGGCTGGTGATGAGTCATTGAAAACTGAAGATTCCATAAGAGGAAAGTGCAGTTAGCACACCTGACTGGCTAGCACCCCAGCTGAGCAGTGCAGCTTTGTGCTGCAGACTGGCTCACTCTTGGCCTCCTGGGGTGACAGAGCTACAGCTCACTACTGCCACAGCAGTATCAAAAAAGCAGGATATTGCCAGCCCCGGAAAAGACCCAGATTCAAAATGCAAAGCTCCATTTTTACTGAATGCAGTTGCTTTTGCACCACCTTAAAATTGAAATGTCAGAATCGAAAACATTTAGCAGGGCCATCTGTATTTGGAGACAATTCAGTGGGGTGGGTGGCCTCTGATCCAACCTGACTGGTATCCTCATAAGAGATCATGACACAGACACACAGAAGATGACCAGGGGAGGACAGGGAGCAGAGGGCCCTCTACAAGCCCAGGGGAGAGGCCTCAGGAGGAGCCAACACACCCACACCTCGACCCCAGACTTCAGCCTCAGGACTGTGAGAGTAAACTTGTGTTTTTTAAGCCATTGGTACAGGTTTAGCATCGATAATCTGAAATTTGAAATGCTCCCAAATCTTACTCTTTTCTGAGTGCTGACCTGACACTACAGTAGGACATTCCATACCTGTCCTCATGGGGTAGGTCACAGTTAAAATGCAAGTGCACTAAAAATACTGTACAAAACCACCTTTAGTAAAACAAATGCATTTTCTGTCTAGACAGGGATCCTGACCCAAGATATCTCATTATGTCTATGCAAATAATCCCACATCCAAAAAGATCTGGCATCTGAAATGGTCCTGGGTCCCCGCATTTCTGATACAAGAGGTTCCACCTGTGTTTGCCATGGCAGCCCTGCTGGTCTCACCTGCAGCATCTGGAGGGGCTCCCGATGGCTTCGGTCTTCCAGCTGCATCAGCAGCAGGTCAAGGGAGTGGCCCTGCTGGTCCAGGCAGGCCTTGCTGTCCTGCAGCCTCGCCGCCATTGCCTCCTCTTCCTCCTTCAGAGCCTGGAGGAGCCTCCGCTCTTCTTCCACCAGAAAGAGGGCCACCTTCTCAAACTCCACCACGATACGCTGTCTCCTCTCCTTCACTCTGTCCTGCAGGTGCGGGACCCCCCACACTCAGCCACGAGGTGTGGCTCCAGGCGGAATGGCCCTGCTTGATGGCTCCTTGCATTATTTCCTGGCTCCCTCACTGAACCAGGGACTTGGACAGAGGTCCTCATACCATCACTGGTGTTGCCCCTGAACCTAAGGGCAATGACTACACCCAAACACCCATGTGCTCTTGCTTATGGGGTTCAGAAGTTCCACCTAAAGTAGGTCACTTGGGCATGTTGCATAAAAATGACAGGAAGACATTGTTTTGGAACAGCCTCCTGTACTGGGCCCCAACAGGCAGGCTAACGTCAGAATGGAGTTACCCATGCTGAGGTTTCTCAGCACCAGAGCTATTTATCAGACCTGAGAAATCAGGATTACAGAGTCTGCAGCCTAACTTCCACAATAGGCTTCTTAACCGTGCGGTTGATTCTTACACAACAGCCACCAGAGCCTGGAATGTAGCTCAGTAGCAGAGCACTTGCCTCACATGCCCCAGGCCTGGGCACAACCCCAGCACCTCAAAATCAAATTTAAAAAGTGGCGAAGTTGATGTTAATCTGTTATTTTCCTGTTTGACCTGTCTCCGAATTCCTGCCTAACCAGGAAAGTGACTTTCAAACACGATCCACTTTTTGTGTTATTCTCTCTTTTTCAGTCTTTAAAATCAATCTTCTTGGCTCAGCCCACACTTATCCTATTTTGTGGAACAAAATGTTGCCCAATTCTAGAATCAGAGATAAAGAAAATTAAGATCTTTAACCCAGCCAGGTGTGGTGGTGCATGCTTGTATTCCCAGCTACTCTGGAAGCTAAGGTAGGAGAATTGCTGCCTTTGAACTTGGGCAACATAGTCTCAAAAAATAAAATAAATAAAAAAGGGCTGGGGATGTAGCTTGGTGGTGGGGCTCTTGTGTAGTATGTGTGAGGACCTGGGTTCAACCCAATTGAAATGAATGAATGAAATAAACCAGCTGAGCCTGGTGGAATAGCCTGAAATTTCAGCTCCTAGGGAGGCTGAGGCAGGAGGATCACTTAAGCCCAGGAGTGCCAGGCCAGCCTGAATTACAGAACATTAATTTTTTTTTTTTGAGATTGCATGACCCCATCTTAAAAAAAAAAAAAATCTTTAAACGTGTTGGAATATGTCCTCTGACAAGCTTCAAATGGTCTAGAAGGCTCTACCATCTGAATCTAATTTTTGTGTGAGGCTCCTCCTTCCCACTACTTGCATGTCTATATAATTAAAAATTGTCTTCCTTCCCTCCTCTTCACCTGTCGTATGTAGGTTTAATTCCTGGGCCAGCCACCAAACCCAGAAGGGTAGAAGGATTTTTTTTTTTTTCTCATGCTGTAGCCTTGCAATGGAGACGAGGAAGCCTTTCACAGCATCTCCCATTGAGCAAAGGTAAGACATGGAGACCTGTGAGATGGAAAAGGGTGGGAGAGGGGCTATAGGACCCACCTGGACCAGCACCTACCTGCCATTCAGCCAAGATCTGTTCTTCCTGGGCTTGCAGTTTCTCTGTCTTGGTCATCTCCTCCCGAAGGTACCCCATGTCCTCCTCTAACTTCAACTGTAGGGTACACAAAACCACAGAACTTGGAGTCAGTGTTTCCCCCACCTCTGCCCAAAATCTGAACTGTAGTCTCTGGAGCTGCATTGACTCCAAAGACCTTCCCAAGGAAAAGCATAGGGTTCAGATACACTACCTAATGACACACAAGCCAGCAGTGATGTTCAGAGCCCACACCCTGACACTCACCTCTGAGCACAACACCCAGCACCCCACCTCAGAGCCTGACACCCTAACACACAACTGTGCTATAAGCATCATTTGAGCTAAAGGAACTAAAAAAAGTGCAACTAAAAAAAGTGCAGCTGCAAGACTCCCTCTGGTTCGTCCCTTCTTCTTCCCGAAGAGGGAGGAAACCACCATGTGGAAGACATTCTCCCTATATCAGGAGAAAAGCAAAGGTCTCCTGATAGGGTGGGAGGTGAGAACCCAGAGTAAGCTACACAGGCAAGCCTGGTGAAACTCACTCTCCTCCTGCCACTTCACCTGTGACTGCTCTAGGCTGAGCCCCTTTGACTTTAACTTTTTTTTTAAGATCTTTTTTTTTTTTTTTTWAA